AACATGTTTGCCAACTGCCGATGGTCAAAAACGAATTTCTTTTGAAGGAACTTAACAAAAATTCTGAATTAATTTTATTTAGCGTTATTTAACTAATTTTCGATTTGATAATAAGTGTTTTTATTAATATTAAAAATTGAGAAAGCTCAGAGTCAAACTGTATTAATTAGCATCTTGAAATGTGTATTGACATGCAAACGTTAATCAGTTGATCATATGGTTCAATAGGATAAATGATGGGTAAGTAACATACGGTATGCATGTTCGAATCTAACTTTATGCATATATTTCTATGCTTTAGACGAGTCCGGACTAGACTGCTACATAGGAATAGATCCTGATAGATGCCGCGTCGCAGACGCTCTTCCTTTTTCAATTTAAAATCTCTTTTGAACGGGTGCCCCGACGGAGCTGAAAATTCCAAACGATTTGGGTGTGGATGTGCGGGAATGGATGTTGGCGTGGCTCTTTTTAATCCACTCACACATCCACCCTGCTATCTAATGAAACAAGATTTTCGATTATTCTCATCGATATTTTGAATTTTATCCACTAAAATACCTTCACTCTAACTTCAACAACATGACTCGATGAAGAGAGAAGGCTATAAACTAAACAAATCCATAATTCTGCATGCTAAGGCTAATAAATGTTAATTACTAATATGAAATTTGTAATTTAATTTACTTAGGGTGTGAATGACAGTGTGAGGGTGGATCTGTGGTGGTAACCTTGACTCCTAACTACCGTTATTCACACCCTCACGCTGTCAGCCACATCCATGCTTACACCCTATTGATAATGAAAATATCGACATGCACACCCTTTTCGAATCATCAGAATTCTGGATTATTCAAATGAATTGAAATATTTTAATTATTAGAGTTATAAGAATTTTTGAATTATGGACTTACGAAATGATCAGAAGATTCTTAATAATCGAAAATCTAAAATTTTTGAAATTAACTAAAAAGATAATATTCATAAACTGGAAAGAATGAGAATTATTCTAGAATAATCAAAATAATGAAGTTGTTGAAATCGTTAGAATTATTTATGAGAACAAATATCGTTCATAGGACTTCGAATCAATTAACTGATAGAACCAACAACATTTATACTTTATCGATTGAAGAACACGCAACAATTGTAATTCTTGTTATTCTTATTATTTGATATTACCACAATTTTGACCATTTAGACATTCTAATTATTCGAAAATTCCAGAATTTTGAGTATTCTAATGATTTCAAAATTTCCATTATTCTATATATTCCGATAATTCTAAATCTTGGAATAGAGACACGTCTCATTAGCGAAGAGAAACAATAGAAACTGGTAGTAGTCCATTTTCTTTTTCTAAAGCTTTCAATTTCTGCTTTTTGTTTCTTTCTGTTATTTGCTTCAAGTTCATATCGGATTACCTCGACTGGAACTATCCTTAGTTTGATAAAAGTTCGTCCCATAATAAACTTTCTGAACATCTTTCAGATTCTGAAGGAATGAAAAAATATTTATTTCATAGAGCGAAAATAATCAATGAAATGCAATTTCAAGGACAAAGAGCGACTGATCGACGAATAATAAGATGTGTGTCAACAGGAAATGAGAGACGGTCATTTACTTTGAGCGAGCTCCGATGATCTCCATGTTCATATAGAAGAGGAATGGAATTATTGTTGTTCTGTGAACTAACAACAATTTCATAGATGTTACTATCAACGGTCAAATCGAGAACAAATCCTTGATATTTAATACTATGAAAGATGAATTTAGTCGCTTGACCTGGCAAATGACCATAGGGCTTAAATTCAAGCTGACTTAATTTTAGACGAATACCACCATAACCGAAAAGAACAGCTTGTAAAAAACCTCCAATACCAGTTATAAAATTAACGGTACCAACACCTGATTGAGTTTCAGTCCATACCTGTCATATCAAAATAAAATGACTAAAATATAAAAGAACG